GCGCGGTCAATGGTCTGTGTGAAGATGAGGAAGGGTGGTCGGAGTGGTGGGCCTGAGTCGGCGCCTGAGGCTGGGTGGAGCAGCTGGCGGACGGCGAGGAGTTTGCCAGGCTCGGTAGCTGTGTAGATGAGCTTGTGGGTGATGTTGGGAACGGCAGTGTCCTTCAGACCAACCACGAGACGGATCAAGGGGTTTGGTTGGATGTCTCTTTTCGTGGCATGAGCTTTGAGCTGGTCCGTGATGATAGTTTCGATGTTGGATCCCATGGTGGCGGACCAGAAGTTGAGCTGCAAGTCTGAATGTGTACACGCCGACCAGATGCCTGTGGTTTGCTCGCGGAATAGTTGATCGAGTAACACGTCTGCCTCGTCGAGGATGAGAGACTGCACAGATGGGAGCGACCATGACAATTTCCCTTTGCTCAAGAAATTGAGAAGTGGCATGGGCGTAGTGATCAAGATATCGGCTTTTGTGATGGGCTTGGCGGACTCATCGCCATCTTCTTCGTTGTCATCGCTAGTGGATTCAGATTCAGACTCGGAGGAGGCCGAGTCTCCATCGTCACTGTCCTTGCTTGTGCGCTCCTCTTTTGATTTGGATGGCGTTGATTGCGCTTCGCCCGTGACGAGTCGCATCCCCTTCTTCATGGTGACGACCTTGAGTCCTGTACCAACGGTCAACTTGCGGGCCTCATTCAGGATTTGATTGGCAAGCTCCCGCGTGGGCGCCAGAACAATGACCTCGAGACTGTGATGCTTTCGGTCTTTTGATCCTGCTCTTCGCTTCATGACACCATTGATGGCAGGTATCAAGAAGCTGATGGTCTTGCCACTTCCAGTGGGCGCAACTGCCATAAAATCGACATTGCCTGTAGAGATGGTGTCTTCCGAGCTGTGAGCGAGCGCCATGGCAGGATCCAGCATCAGAGGCAGACTACCCATCTGCACCTCGGTGGGCTCCTTGTAGCCCTGCGCCTCGACATTTTCCGCCAAACGAGTCGAGACGTTGTGCTGAGAACGCAGCTCGCTGAATGCACGCAGAGGCTGTGGAAACAGCTGCTTAGCCTTATTCGTCGATTTCACCTCCTCGACCGCCTTGGCCTTTTTCTTGCTCTTCTTGACCTTGGCCTTCCTGTCGGCTCCGTCGGAAAGCAGTGTGAATTTCAGCCGGTGGGACCGCAGGATCTGCTTGCATTCGTCTTCGTCAAGGAGCTGTGCCTTTGGTCTGTTGGGCTTCGACTTGGGCTTTTGCGTGTGGTTTGTCTTGGCCTTGTCCGCCTTCTTGGAGCTTGCGCCCTTGACCTCGTCCTTGGGCGCGAAGAAGTCGAGGTCGCTCAATTCGTCTTCCGGCTCGTCTTCGACTTCGTCTGGTCGCTTGCGCTTGATACCGTGAGATGCGCCGCCAACGTCATCGTGGAAGAATTGGGCATTCGGTCGGCTGCCTGCTGAAGGAAGAGTCGCGGCGGAGGAGCCAGAGGCTCCTGCTCTGCTGGGCTTTCTTGTCGTGCCAAGCGACAAGACCCTGAGGATGTCCATGGCCGGGACAGGTGAGGAAGTGTGGGAAGTCAGCAGCGAGGGTTGTGCAGAAGGGAGATGCTCGAGTTCAACATTGTACTCATCTCTTACCACAGAAGCCGAGAAATTTCTGGGAGGGTCGCTTATCGATAACAGACAAGCAGCTGGGACCCCTGTCGCTGCACATCTGCCAGCGTAGCAAGGGCCACCCCAGTCGATTGATTATGGGCCCGTTCACAGTCGAGATGACTTCGACAACCGACAGACACCAGAAATGCAACTTGCTCTTGTCACCATCGGGAGCCAGATGATGGCCAGCAACGGCGCAACCACAGCAACCACAGCACCATGGTCTACCACTGGGAAAAGTACAAGGACACGCTTCACAGCCTGTACGTGCACGAGGCAAAACCTGTCGACTACATTATCGAGTACATGCGTCTTCATCACGGCTTCAGCCCGAGGTAAAAGCCCCCACAGATGGACCTGGCCGGCCTCAACGGGGTCAAACTGCCTCGGCGAGTCGCATGGCTTGCCGTACCGCCGTCTAGGTGGTCCCGCTAGAGTTCTCCCGAGCCCTGGTTGAGACTTTGCTTTGCTTTGCTGACTGCCTCTCTCCATTCGCAACACAACAGCAAACGTGCCTTTGCTGCTCAGTTCCGCCGCTGGAACTTTCCCTCGAGACAGCAGCCTGCCCTCAAGAATCGTGCGCTGGTGTGCCGCGTGCGCGAGCTCTGGGAACGCAACTGCTCCCAGAATGACATGCTGCGCACTCTTACCGATGAAGGCTTCTACATTACCCTGCGCGAGCTAAGCCGCGTTCGTCGTCATCACCGCTTACTTCTCCGCACTCCCAAGTCGGAAGTGGACCGGGCCGCAAGCGGCGATGATGTCGAAGCTGCGGCCGTGGGGCACCTGCATGATCTTGATTCAGACGATGGCTTCCTCAGCTGTGGTCACTTCGTGTCTCAAGATCAAGACACTGGTAATTCCGTCTTCTCGGTAGCAATCGACCCCCAACTGGAGCTGGACGCCTCATCTGAGCTTCCTTGGGGTGTGAAGAAACGCCGCCGCCGCACCAGGCAGTATGGAGGCCTGCCCGCCGACCCCCCGGGCCCGCCGCGATTTCCCTCCGAGACGACTCTCGCAGAGAGCACAAAGCTGCTAGCACTGGATAAGCCCACCTACATGACGGTGCGAGCCAAATTTCAGGCCATATGCGAAGCCGCCGGTATCAACAGGAAGTCCACGGCAGGCGGGGAGGCGTGGGAGAGGGCCAAGGCGGAGCTCGTGACCGAGCTTCCGGTGCTCAACTGTGACTTGTGGACTGAAACAGAGCCAGGCCGTCTTGAACAGCGGAAGCTGGCCCTTGATATTATCTGCACCGATGTGACCAAGCGGATGCGTGCTGGTGCTTCAGACAAGGTAATGGTGTTGGCAGATGCCAAGAACATTCTCGAGCTCAATCCTTCCGACACCAGGGAGGTGCGAGCGGCCTTCCACAGGATGCTGAAAGACGAGGGCCTTGCGAGCAAGTCAGCTATGGGCGCTGAGCGGTGGAAAGCCCTCAAACAAAAGTGGATCGACGAGAACGAGCAGTTGTCCCGCACACTAAGCAAGCGGGACAAGGCCGACGACTATGAAATGAAGTCGAAAGCCGTTGAAGTTATTGCCAACGATGTAATGAAGAGAATGAGGAATGGGATCAGCAAAAAGAAAGCAGACAAGATCAAAGGCAAGGACAATGCGATTGCCATGGATGATGACGACTTCGACGACGGCCACGTGGGCTTGAGTGATTTGAACCAGGACGCATCCGATTTTGCTGCTGGTATGCTGGTACCAGGACAACAACAACAACAACAACAACAACAACAAGAAGAAGAGCAGCAGCAGCAGCAGCAGCAGCAACAGCAAACTCATGGCCACGACCATCTTGTCGGCACGCAAATGGATATGCAACTACCCATGGACACACAGCTTGATGCAGCTCTTCTGCTCGATCCAAACGGTCACAATGCATTTCTGCATCCACATCCGCCTTTTATATCAGAGCCACATCCTATGACAGGTGGTTTCGACACGCCTCCTGCACATGCTCATGCCCAAGCAGGCGCCACCGAATCCGCAACAGTCTACCAGATGCCCTCAGCCAACGACAGCATTGTTCCCATCTACTTGCGCCAGGTGGGGCCCGATGGTAGTCTCGGCGAAATATGGATAGCCTGCCTTAGCTCTCCTACGGCTTCGTTGGCCGAGTTGCGCCACGTGGCTGCGCAAAAGATGCCCGGCTCGGATTGTGTTGAGGTGATTGGCATGGTCAAAGTGGCTCATGCCATGGGCGGGTCCCAGATATTCCCTCTGCAGATTCTGGACGATGCTCAGCTAGGTGCCCATCTCGCCCAAGACGGACCGCTGTTCCATGTTCGCTTGTCGTTTTGAAAGAGAGCTCTTGAGATACTCGAATCGACAATGTAAAGCTGTGCTTGGAAGACATTTACTAGGCCTCGACATTATGTGAGCACATTGTGGCAGCTATCATGAAGGTTCAATACGGTCGTCCTGCCGTGAGCATTAGGGCGTCTTCACACGGCATGCCAAGCCATGCCTGAGAGCCTCATGCACGTCACAGTTGTCCTGGGCATTGATGGTGTGATACAATTGGTCCAAGAGAATCAGCCTTTGTCAGCTCGTTATGATTGAGGGTTGAGGCCCCCAACAAAGGCAAACGACGTGGCTTCTGTCAAAGTGCTGCACACTTACAAGTTCTCGTCTGATGTTTTGTTCATAGAGTATCGTCTGCGTTGAATACACCCCGTCGCCTTCGTTACCATCCGCGCTCCATGGCTACAGGGACAGTAGTGCCAATGCGACTGTTGCTCTCATCAAAGCAGCGAGATTCTTCCTTCCGACGACCGCTCACTCGTCAACAACTTGGCCAACACTGCCAATTTCAATCGCCCATTGCATCAAATCTTGTACCGGTTGGACAGCATATTCCATTTACTGATTGGTGGTTTCAATCTCGAATCAATTCCGCAGACCCTTCCGATTTGGCTCACTAGACGCGCGGATTCAACCACGGTATATTCAGTCATCAAAGAGTTGATCAACTTGCATGTGTCTATTCGCCAACTGCACCAGTGATGACAGTCGTTGCTGCTGTACAAGGTTGCGAGGAGCAGCTGAAGTCCAATCGCATTTCCCCAGCCCAGACTCACTCAGTCCGGCTCATCTCACCAGCAGACACACCACATTCACTCATCAAAAACTCGATCCATACTCACATTGAATCAATCAACCAATTCATCAATCGATACCGGGGTACTTTGTGATTATGTAAGCGCCAAGCACTTTTCACGCGGCACAAAACCCGCACCAAAAAAACGACTTCTTCCCACCACCAGCTGCTCCACCCTCACCACCACCACCACCACGACGCCGTCAACAACACCAAAAATGAAAGCCGACGAGGCTCACGATGTCTGGACACATAGGGAATCGAACCCTAGACCTCTCCCATCACGGTTCTTGGGATCAGAACGTTAATTGCGTAGTGCTGCTAAGGGAGTGTTATACCACTAAACCATGCGCCCATTTGTTGTTGAAACTGCCTGGACTTCCTCCCTTATAAAGGATCCACAAACATGAAAACTCTTTGATCCGCAAGGTGGAGACCATTCAGTATAGCGCACGGTGTCCGATGTTGGGAGCCGAGTCCGGGTCGGTGGAGTGGCCAGGGTGGAAACGTGGAATGGTGAGACCAAATATCCCGAGGCACATCATTCCACCAGCTCGGGATATTCATGAACGGCGCTCCATAGTTCGAGGTCTCTGTGTGTGTCCAGACATTGCACATTCCTTGGGTCGCAAGCAAACAGCACCGTCTACCGAGCACAAGACTGTACAATAGCAAAGCACACACGCCCACGCCACGCCACACTACACTACAGTAAAGGCTAGAACACGCACGTTTTAGGCGCGGCCCTGACTCGCTCTCTGTGCTGAACATTGTTTCGGAAGACAGAGACAGGCTGCCACCCCCCGGGCTCAAACCACGTGTATGATGTGCGTGCGTGTGTGTCTCGAGGCCGGGGTCCTTGATCCGTTCGCCTTGCCAAGCAGCACACACTCTTGCATCAGAAACTCAGAACCTCACCTTTTTGCATGTCTCAGGATGAGGGACGCCATGGACCCCTGGCGGTGAAGCATCGTGTCCCAACTTTTTGCGCTTGCATAGGGTAGCCGTAGTGACGTTGCCTCTCACCGGACGAAACAAGCGTGGTTGCATATTACGAGTGTTCATCCAATGTTCTTGTGTGTTGAGCTCAAGAAGGAGGAGCCTGGTGAGTGAGTTGGGTGACAGGGGCATCGTCTGTCATGTACGATGTTCCAAAACTGGTCGGTCATTTCTCTCTCTCCTCCCTTGGACCGCCGCCAACCAGTGCCCAGCCTCAGGACGTCCGTCGCTTCGCAGCCCCCTTTGGACACGCGTGTCCACAGTCGAAACGCCCGGGCGGCCCTTTGCACGTCTGCATCGGACGCTTCAATGGATCCCTCTAGCTCGCCTGTGCACACCCCAAGTCAAGAAGAAGAGGCTGAGGAGGAGGAGGAGGAGGAGGAGGCAGCACGCCCCAGCTCGTGCACCTTGCGAGGCCAAACAGCACATGCCCGTGCCGCATGGACTAGCCAAGTGAGACGCGTGCGTTCTGTTGATCGGATGCGGTGTTGCTGGCCATATCCAGAGTAGTGTTGGCTGCGTTTCTTGGGATGGTCCAACGTGCCTTTGACGAACACCCTTGTCCTTTTCTCTTTCATACGACTTATAAGTAACGTACTGCGAGCGTGCATCACCACCACCACCACCACCACCACCACCATCATCATCATCATCATTTACCTCAACGCCGTGCTGTGGACAGCCTGCGTGAATGGAAGCGGTGGTTATCAGGAAGCGGTTCTGAGCATGCTTGAAACGGTCCATTGAGCTGTTGGGGGGTAACGAATTCAATAATACAACACAACGACAACCGGGCCTGGCCGCACTGCAAGCAACCTGTCGTCATCCAGCAACGATGGTGATGGAAGCGCTCGAGATCAGCACCGGCAATGCGACGCTGGACGAAATCGCCCTCTCTTCTGGCGGTGGCACGCCGATCCGGCTGGTCGAATGGAGCGTCATGTTTGGGGTTGCTGTCGTCATGACCGTGTTGCGAACATATGCGCGAACAAGCAAGAATGGATGGAACGGCATGGCATGGGATGACCATCTGGTATGGCTTGCACTGGCTGCGTATGCCGTGCTGGCACTGAATGGTATGTGGCTGGCTGCTCTCGTTGCTGCTTCGCCCTTTCGTGTACTGACCACTGACCACGGTCAAACATTGCAGTCTTCACCATCGATGTTGTGGCCGAAGGGCTGTCAAACAACGGCATGACGGACGAGCATCGCTGGCTGCTGGCCAACGACGGCACGTACAGCCAGGAATACCAGTTGCGCGTTCTCGGCTCCAAGGCCCAGCTTGTCAAGTGGTTCTTGTATGCCCTCACATTGTGGCTTCTCAAGGGCTCGCTGCTCTATTTCTTTTCTGGTCGTCTTACCGTAAGCCCCCTTTTTGTTTCTCTCTCTCTCTCTCTCTCTCTCTCTCTCTCTCTCTCTCTCTACCGTCTCTCTTCTAACCACCAAACGCAAACATAGTCCAACATGCCCGGTGCAAAACCGCGAGCCTGGGTCGGCGCCGGCTTCCTCCTCCTCACCTGGGCCGCGACAAGCGTGACCGTCTTGGCCAGCTGCCAGCCCTTGACCAACTACTGGCAGATCTTCCCGGACCCAGGCACAATGTGCCAGCCCGCCATCTCGCCCATCCTGATCGCCGTCTTCCTGGGCTGCAACGTGATCACGGACGTCTACCTCATCTCGATTCCCATCCCAGTCCTGCTCAAGGCGCGTCTGCGCAGCTCGCAAAAGATTTCCTTGATTTGCTTGTTTAGCTGCACGATTCTGATTACGGGCATTTCCATTGTGAGGGCTCTGTTTATGCTCAAGGTTCGTTTTGCCTTTTTCTTTTTCTTTTTTTTTTCTTTTCCCCTTCTTTTTCCTTTTCTTCTCTTTTTCTCTCTGTGTGTGTCTCTTGTCTTCCTCCTCTTGGTCCACATCATCACGAGGCTTTGTCACTAACCAGCTCTCGCAACATCCACCAGGACCCCAAAATCAACGGCGATGGCATGTGGGACGTCCGTGAAACCTTTGTGGCGCTGGTCACCACAAACATCCCACCCATTGTGCCTCTCCTTCGCAGCTGGTTCGCCTGCTGTCTCGGCCGCCCACAAGTTGCGAGCATCGATGTCGCCGCCAACAGTGACGACCGCGGCAGCACCTCGTTCCGGGGTAGAATCAGTGAAAGTTCCGAGGAGTCTAATGAGTTTAAACAACAGCAGCAACAACAGCACCACCACCAACAACAACCACCGGACCAACATCAAGATGTGCAAACCACAATGACAGACCTCGAGCGCAAAGCCTCCAACTCAACGTTTCGATCCGTGTCGGTGTACTCGCAGGATACCGATGTGGAGGAAGCGAGGCCGCAAGCGGACGCTATTGGTCCGTACGGCGCATCGGCGTTTGGCCGTGGCTTTGATGGAGCCGCCGAGGGCCAGCAGTCGCCTGTTTGGTTCAGGAGAGAGGCGATGCGCAGGCAGATATTTCCCGACGTGGACACAAGGCCGGCGCTGAGAATAGAAACGCAGAGGCAGGCGAGGGCGCAGCCACGGTCTCGAGCCAACGTGCCTTCATGGCCTCTTGTGTCGAATCGTAGGGCTTGAGGCGTGGGTTTTTCTTCTTCTTTTTTTCTTTCTCTTCTCTCCAACAAGGTGTATCACCAACGAACTCGGAGCATGGCTCGGAATAATAAATACTCTTGAACAATGATACCCAGCAACGAGTTTGGCCATCTTCAGCTGATCGAGTGAGTGAGACTGATGAGTCGACACCGTGAACTTGTCTCTTTCTCTGCAAGGTGGCTGTGAGAGGTGTGGTGCAACCAGAACCAAATGGCTGTTTCTTGTTGTCTTTCATGCTCCTCCACGGTGCAAGCATCCACCATCCTTTCACACATGTCCGAGTCGAAGCCGGCCTTTTCAGCTCGGCCTTGTGTCGTGCTGCGCCATATCTCCGGGGCGTACGGTCCACTCCACCAAGAAATCTTGGGGTCCGTAAATCCGCCATCGCCACACAACCCGCCGCGCTTTTGCGCTATCCACTCCCACTTTCACAAGGCCGACAACAGCCGAGATCCGCTGGAGATCCGCTCGAAGTCCGACGTCCACGCCATCTTTGGTCAGATCCTTGGGATCTGTTGTGATTGTGGTCGGGGGCCTCGAAAAGGATGAGCACGCTTGCTCGGCACTCGTCTCCGGACTTTTATCAATCTTATCAGATCGAGAACCCCTTGCAGTATACTATTACTACTATTACTACTACTAGTAGTAGTAGTAATAGTTTCGTACTCGGTGTATTCAAGCAATGAGCGTGTACTTACTTTGCAGGCGTACACGTATGCCTGTCCCTAACACACACACACACACACACACACACACACACAGACTCTCTCTCTCTCTCTCTCTGTCTCTGTCTCCGTCTCCGAGGGTGCATGACTCCGTCACCGGACCATTGATGATCCCACATTGTTCCCTCGAGCCAATCCGGCCCGGCCCATGCCAGCAAGACCGTGCCGCGAGCGTGGACTATTTAGACGGCCTGTGGTCCTCGTCGTCTTGGCCCTTGGTGTTGTGCTCGCATACCTGTTGCCATTGTCTTGTTTGGATTGGCAGCAGCACAGCAGAACCGATTCCGACACCGAAACCGACACCGACACCGACACCGATCTGACCATGGCTTCTACTCTGCGCAATGTCGTCGTCGTTGGCGGCTCGTATACCGGCGTGGTGCGTGAGATGGCCTTGCCTTGCCCTGCCCTGTCTCGCCTCCTTTTTTTCTCTTTTTCTTTCTGACTTTGCTGCTCCCAGAACACTGCCAAAGAACTTGCCAATGCTCTCCCTGCGACGTATCGAGTAAGTTGGCTCTCTTGCTCTCGCTCTTGCTCTCGCTCTCTCTTTCTCTCTTTTGCTGTCTCGCGACGAGCATTCATGCACTGACCGTCCGTCTCGCCAGGTCCTCCTCATTGACCCTCACAGCCACTTTAACCACCTCTTTGCGTTTGTCAGTAGTCGATATCTTGTTCCCTCCTCCTCCTCAGCTCCGGCCGGCCTGCAGAAACCCTGCTGACAGCCCGCCGCCCCCTCGGCCTAGCCACGGTTCTCCATCCTCCCAGGCTACGAACACAAAGCCTTCATCCCCTACACAGGCGCCTTCTCCGAAGTCGCCAATGCGTCGCAACACACGCGCATCCAGGCCAAGGCCGTGTCGCTGTCGCTGCAGCCGCAGGCCAGGCACCTGACGCTCGACCGCGAGTGGCAAGGCTCCACCAGCCTCGCCTTCGACTACCTCGTCGCCGCGACGGGCACCCGCCTCGTGGCGCCGAGCAACATGCCCTCGGACGACAAGCCCGACGCGGTCGCGTACCTCAAGCGCTTC